GAATACTTGGGGTTTTTTTTGCCCTTTACTTTTATAGTCCAGTCAACTTTGAAATGCATTTTCCTGAAGATTATCGCTGTGTGGTTGGAAATTGGTGAAAAAAGTCCCATACTGTTGTGTGCTAAAATGTAGATTTGTCTGTTTCTGCCCCTCTTCTTTGCCACATTGTGGCCACTTGACAGGTAATTGCCTATCAGTTTTGACCATAGCTGAGTAGAGGCAACAATCTATCCTGTGTCTTTGAGAAACATGTTTACCAAATCTGGTAGCTTCATGTCAGTCATAATTTCATTTTATATTCATAACTTTATAATGTTGCTATATAGTTTCCACCATGTTATTGACTCGTGAGTTAGTTTTCAAATACCTCACAAAACATGCTATAACAAAATTATAATGTGTAGGGTAAATGAACCCTACAATCACACCACTCCCTTCCCTTGCAACACTTCGTCTCTTCTACCACCAGACCAATTCCTGGCCTTTTGTTTAATCCAACTCCCAGGAACACGGTTCTGTGGCCTCCTCCACTCTTAAAGGGACAACATACTCCATTACATGGAGGCTGCTTGACACTGGTGACAGCTAATCCCAGTGCAAATAATCTCATCCAGTAATGAGTACATTCATAGGACCGTGCCATGAGCTTGTCCTTTAGTAATAATAGTTTGAAATAATTGTTTGGAGGTGTTAAATAAAAACCAAAATGTGGCAAGTCTTGAGTTAGTATTGCTAGGCAAGGGCGTAAAGTTGCAATCTGGTTGGCTGCTGCTATCCAGTGATCCCGCCAGAGCAGTGTTTCCCAAATAGTGTTCCGGGGAACCCCGGGGTTCCGCAAAGTGAAAATAAGGGTTCCGCAAGAAAATTCCATTACAACATGTTGCTATTAAATGCTTAATATTTTTTTATGAATGTTATTGAAAACAATTTTCATTTCTGTCGATCTCATGACCTTGTTTAGCATTTGTTTATTATTATCCTTACTTATTTGTGGTCTGCTTTTCAGCTCTATATATAATACTGTTATTAGGGGTTCCACAAAATGTTTTTGAGTTTAAATGGGTTCTGTGGCCAAATAAAATCGGGAAACACTGCTCCAGAGTATAAAGATAAGGATGCCTAGATATAATTAGATCTTGTCTATACTACAGAAGTGAGTTTTGTAATGATTGTTAAAGTTGGTTATGGCTCAACTTTGTAAATAAACGGAGTCCTTACTAGAAAAACTTAAAACAACAACAAATAATCTTGCAGCACCTTAGAGACTAACAAAACATGTAGATGGTGTCATGAGCTTTCATGGACACAACCTACTTCTTCAGATGAATGGAGTGATTCAGGCTGGTTGAGCTGCAGCAAAGTTCAATTTCAGTTGTTTACATACTGTACACAGTCTACAGAGAGGCATGATCCACCATTCCAACATCTAGTCAGCCTCATTACCTGTGATTGCTCTGCTCAACAGTAACCACAGACAGCTTTAGTCTCTTTAAAATCAGGTTACATACACATGATAGTTATGTCACATCAGGATTACAAAACTGGCACAGCAGATACAGATGGATGGTCTGCTGGAGACTGAGTAACAGCTGAGTTGGCTGCATGGGTACTGTGGAAAAGGCTGAATATGGTAGAAGTGCTGTGGGAACTTTTCTCTCCCAATACTGGATAAACAGGTGTTTTTAAAAACCTCATTGTTACAGAAGTAATCTCTTTCCCATTTGGCAGACAATTGAGCTAACCATCTGCAGTGTTTGTTTGCTGGTACTATTCTTTTAAAAAAAGGAAGAGAGCGCCAAGCTGGAGCAGCATCTTTAAAAGTGTCCTGACCAACCGCCCTTAAAGAAGGTGAAAACAAAACTGCAATAGGCAATTAGGGAACACCCAGGCCATGGGGCTGTTTGCCTCTGCCAAACTTTTTTAAAAAACAACTTACTAACAATCTGAATATTTTCCCCATCCACATAATACAGGCTGTGTTTTAACAGTCTCTGGCTGTGTCTACATTGGTGCGATCTTGCACAAAAGCGGCCGCTCTTGCGCAAAAACTTGCTGCCTGTCTACATTGGCCGCGTGTTCTTGTGCAAGTAAACTGACGTTCTAATGTGTGAAATCAGGGCTTCTTGCGCCAGAACTCTGATGCTCCCGCTCAGGAATAAGCCCTTTTGTGCAACTGTTCTTGTGCAAGAGGCCAGTGTAAACAGGCAACATGAATATCTTGCGCAAGAAAGCCCTATGGTTAAAATGACCAGTGGAGCTTTCTTGCGCAAGAGAGCGTCTACACTGGCAAGGATGCTCTTGTGCAAAAGCACATCTCTTGTGCAAAATCACATGCCAGTGTAGATGCTCTCTTGCGCTATTGAGTTTTTGCACAAGATCATGCCAGGGTAGACGTAGCCTCTGTGCGCAGGACTTTTATACAGATAAATCCCCCTTCCCCCCTGAATGCCCAACCACCCTTGGTTACAAAACAAGACAAGTCCCACCTGACTGTTTTGGGTCCTCACTTCAGGAAACATTGGCCCATCTCTTCTAAAAAGGTGGGACAGGCTGTGTGGGAGGGGGGGCGGGGAGACAGTGGAGGCACCCCACATACAGA